CGAGTTTCGATAACGGTTGCATTGTGATACAAACAAGCTTGCAGGTCTAGCAGGTTTCCGCTCCAATGGGTCCAACCAGCTTCACCGCGAGCCGAAATCCTACTCAAACCCTTGCAAAAGGAAGTAATACTGATGGCATTGCGGGACTTGTCGGGGCTTCCATCGGCTGAATGAAGCCGGTTATGCCTCACAGAAGCAGTCAAAGACAAGTTGTGAAATGTGTCTGAGTGACCAAGACTTTTGGGAGATAAGAAACGGTAACACTGTTTAAAAATGTGAAAACTGGGATGCTACTTGGGCTTGTCAAGCGGGCTATTTCTCTCTTTCCTCGCCTTAGGAAGCAAGGAGATCTCTAGCCGACGTCCTGCAACCACTTGGACAGAGACCGAAATATGCAGCTCGGAATCTCAACTCTGAATATGCAGGACGGTTGGTTTAATTTGCTTGCGATAAGTGCCTTCGTTTCAGATGTGACAGTCTGGCCTATCGGAAGCATGTGTTTCATGAAGTCAAAACAACAGAACTTCGTTTCACTTAGTCAAAAGGTCATGAAATATGATGAGATGGGCAACGTTTGCAATCCTGCTCGCCTGCTACTTTCACGAGTCTATGATTCGCATCAATGGTATGTTAAACATCACCATTACACTTCTGGCATCATTTCCCAAGCTACGATCAGGGCAAGTTACTCATGACTTCCTAGATTCTATGCAAGTCCTTGGAACCCTCCAGATAGCCAGGAGGTTTCACATGAAGTTCTTATCTCAAAATCGCGGAGGGAAGGAATCAACCCTTGAACAGCTGTAAGTTGGGGCCTGTCTGACGTGTTAAAACGAGAGTCCAAGAGCCCAAGAGCTCTCCCTGCTCTCAGCTGCAGCTGTGATGGGTCGATGCGATAGGGTTCGCCATGAGGGCCTTTTTGTTGCTTCCTGGGTGCTGTTCACCGCCTATACAACTATGACCGCAATGCTTGGGGTGGCTACCGGGGTTGGCGAGCTACTTGGCGAGCTACCGAACAAACAAGCAACTGCCTCCCCCCAAGCCAAGAACATTCGGTTGACTTCCCCAAGTTATCTCATCTCGCGGCAGCAAGGGCTCATGTGATGGCTTGGTACAGAGCCGTGCAGCGCGGGGGAGCGAAGCTTCCGGAAAATTATACTAGACAGTTACAGGAAGCTCAATCCCTTTGATTGTGGCGTGGCAAGCTAACAAGCAAGACGAGACGGTGATGTGTCGGTGTGAAGAGTGAGTGCAATGCCTACAGGCTCCAACTGGGAAATGTCATTACCGGGTATACCAACGGGTCGGGCCGTAAGTCATCAGTCCAAGTCCAGTCGAAAGTGGGATTTCCGGTGAGATAGTTGACATGGATGGATGATTCGCGTGCCGCCAGTCTATCAAGTGGATGCCTGGGGTAAAGTACCCGTCGGAACGCATTGCATAGCCATAACCCAAGGCAAATCACTAGCGACGACAGGGCTCAACACCATCGACATCGACCATGGCATAACTGTGTATGTCTGTTTATCGTCATGGGCACAAATGTCAGCCCGATAGCCACATCGTGCTACCAATGGGCCATGGTACGCCCCGGATGACACCCGCATCGTCCTTGTTGGTTAAGAATGAGGATGGTTGCATCCTCTCAAGGCGCAAAGTTATGCCTAGTACACGGAACGGGGAACTCTTTCCCCCCGTCAGACGAGCATCTGTTTGTAGTCTGTCTTCCAACGACTTACACAAGTGAAACGACTTTTGAGGATGCAGGGTAAGTAGACCGTCTGGTATCCATGTTGATGACATTCTTAAAGGATGGTCAATATGTCCGCTGCCGTCGGCATCCCAGATTAGCCATGGCGAATAACTTTTGTTTGCTCCGATGTCGTGACTAATTTATCGAAGCGAGCGGCCAAACCATTGGCTTGGTCGTGAGGCACCTTAGAATTGTAGGCCAGCCCAATGGCGGGGATCTTGTCATGATGATACAAGTCTTGCGTCTCAAGTCTGACTCAACTCTACAAACATTATTGACGTGGAAGAAAATGGTGTCAGGGAACGTAGTAAGAGCAACCTGGACGCATCCTACTGGCCATCATATGCATTGAGGAACGATGTACGACTGTCGGCCGTCTCTTTTCACGTTATACCAAAGAGATACAGTGTTGCCATATCTCGTGATATGGCCCCCCTGCCAGCCTCCAGAAACTGATTAACAACTCACATCTAAATAGTCAATTGCCCTATAGACTCATAATTCACCTGGCCTAGAATGCTGTAATACAGACAGAGCTTCTTCAGGCTGTTTTCGTTAAGCTTATGTCTTTATGGTTTAATAACTCTGCTTGTTGCATGAAGTTGTCATAAGACTTAAGTTTCGCTTAACCATGCCTTACTGTAATGCTGTTTCGAGATGGCGAACAAACATGACAGATGGAACCTATGTCTTGAGCCCGTTGTTTTATCTTCGATAGGAACAGTACTACCAATGGTCATTGACAACAGCATTGAGATATGACTGATCGTGTTGAGTTGACGGTAATTTCAAGTCCACAGTGTAATATCACCAAATCTCGTGAACCAAGGAGTGCCATGACATCTCAATATCTTTTAGACAGGATGTTGCCCACAAGATGAGTTTGATGAGTTTGACAAAATTTCTTTGGCGATATCTAGTGCGTGGTGTAAATCAATGAACTAGGTAGACTTACTAGGGGTCAAAATCGCAAACAAGCCACTCAGCAAGCGAAGAGATCTTGACCAGGGATAGAAACCGCAAGACCTCTCTGAAATGTACAGTGAGAAATGACAATGGATTTGAAGGAACAGTCCCATTGTGCTCTACTGGGGCTTCTATTAACCAAATGAGATGGCTTGCTAAATTATCATCTCATTGTCGTCCAGGGTGTGTAAGTGCTTGTTCTGAGTTAGTAGTTACAGCTTATTGTGTTGTTTATTCTTCCAATATTGGGATTGGTTGATAGGAGGACAATAAGTTTCTCTGTGGAGCACCGCCACAGCCAAAGTGGAGTCCTGCACCCAATCAGACCCAGATGTACTTCAGCCTTGTGTGCCCTGAAGCTTTTATCCCCAGCCTCAGCCTTGCTACTACATTCTGACGATCAACCTCTATCTTCTGTATCATTGAGTTGAGCTCTAGCGATACATTGTGGGTGGGTAAGAGCTCTACTTTGGCCCTTTGATCAAGTCTGAGAATGCCGCTAACCGTATTGTTCTAGTTCAATTGTTATCTAGGAGATAGACGAAGAGACACTCCTGACCCGGCGGGCAACATTCGAGCTTCGGAGCGACCGATCGAAAGCTCTCGCTGTGTCTTGTACACGATATTTGGCTCAGTATCGAAGGGGAAGCTGATGTGATTGACCAAGAGTCCGCTCAGATCAACACTTCCCGTCTTCTCCCGTCTACGCTCTTCCTCAGCGGGACCAAACTTGATCATCCCCCACCTGCATCGCCATCATGTCCAACAACGCACCCTCTACCCCCGTCAAGGTGCCATCCAGCGCCGCAAACCACACACAGGCGACTTTAGATCCAGATTTACGGTCACAAATCAACACAGTTCTTCTGCGCGACGGTCACGTCTCAAAGTACGCCCCCACCCTCCCTCGCCAGTTTCTATCATGAGTTGCAGCCTACTAACGCATTATCCAAGAATACAAGATGCTCTTCTCCACGCGCTGAACTCTCATTCTACGAACTGGCCCACGGTTATCCAATCGCATGCACTCGCTCTGCTGCGCTCTGGCGAAGTCACAACCTTTCCCGCCCTACTGAGTCGCGTGCTCGAAGACGTCCGCCACGATTCTGCCCTCAACCCCATATCATCGAGCTCGAACGGAACGAGCGCCAAGCCCGCAACAAACGGCGATGCCACCAAGACTAATGGTGCGGCTGATGCTAAGCCTAGTCTTGCTGTGCCGGAGTCGGTGATTGAGGAGGCTCTTCGCGTCACCAGGGAGAGCCTAGAAGCTGTTTGCGACATCGAGGACGAAGGAACCGCTTAAGATGCGGCTATAGCTTGAAACCTTTAAAGAGAAATTATAAAGCCAGGAGGTGATAGAAGACATCTCGTCGCATCAGAAAATATGCCCGGCATTCTGAATCACGACAAAATCGAAGACAATATCCAAACAATGCGAGAAGCCCAACAAGGAAGGGTTCGATAACTTGGGCGCTTACCACCCACCATACACCGACATGTCCTACACACGCAAAACCAGACAAGTCAGGATACGCTCAAAAGAATAGCTTAGCGAGGGCCTTTCTTGAATAGCAAACTCACTCATATTATATATAATACATAACAAACATACTCGCGCGGGTGTTGAAAGGGAGACAGGATCCCGAAAACAGGGACACGAGACGATAACTACGTATGACACAAATGAATAGACATTACCTTGATGACAATCTCTGACGATTTTGCTACGGCGAAAAATAATGTCTGTCTTTCTTGGCGCCACAGCGCTGATGTACTTTCATGAATATCTCTTAACGTGACGCGAGAAATGTTCATTTCCGGCTGCAGACTGATGGAGCTCTCAGCTTTATTGCATTAGGCGACCGTTCGAGAAGAAACTTGTAACAAAGGTAATAAACACTACAGGGGCCAAGCAGGAAGCGGCTATCTCAACAAAATTTTATGACGTCTGTTAACATAGTACAATCAATTTAGCACACAGGGAACAATCACTCTTAGACTCGACATAAAGCTAAGGGAATCAATTTCATCATCTATCAAACGCAAATCCGTCTCGAGCCACACTGAGACTACTTTCATACCCTCCTGGCTCATCAGAAATGCCAGGATCAGGTTGCCGTTCTTCTTTCCTCTACCATTCTACCAACTCCCATTCGAAAATCAGCCGCATAGAATGCGTGAGTAGATTGCTCACTAACAGCCTACGAGCCAATGTAGAGATGTGCGAGTGAAATTATTAGAATACAAAGGACTCATGTCCATACAGTCGTTGCCGTCCTTAGTCGTAGAGATCATCATCGTTGCCAGCATCGCCAAATGAGTTACCGCCGTCAGCACCAGCAGCCTCGGCACCGGCCTCGGGGAACTTGAAGAAGGCACCAGGACCAGCGTTCTTCATCTGTTGGGCAAAAGCCTCGTACCGGCGGATCTCGACGTCAGATACTGACCGGCGAGCCATCTGCATGGCCTCCTCAAAGTGGGCCTTGGTCAACTCGGGCACGGGGTCCTCAGCATCCTCGTCTGTGTCCATCTCGTCACCAGCAGCCTCGCGAGCCTTTTGGCGCTCGATATCGGCAGCGATAGACTCCTTGATGGCGATCTTGACAGCACGCTGTGTGATGAAACCGATATCAGCACCAGAGAAACCGTGGGTCTTGGAGGCGATGTAGCCGAAATCGATGTCGGAGGCGATGGGGGTCTTGCGGAGCTGCGCCTTGATAATGCTCAGACGACCAGGCTCATCGGGCAGAGGTACGTAGATGAGCGAATCGAGACGACCAGGTCGGCACAGAGCAGGGTCGAGCTGCTCGGGTCGGTTGGTGGCGCCAATAACGAAAACGTTCTTCTTTGAAGTCATACCATCCATCTCAGTCAGGAGCTGGTTGACGACACGGTCAGAAGCACCGCCAGCATCACCCATGGATCCACCACGAGCCTTGGCAATGGAGTCAAGTTCGTCAAGGAAGACAACGCAAGGGGCGGCAGCACGAGCCTTGTCGAAGATGTCTCGGATGTTGCTCTCAGACTCACCAAACCACATGCTGAGAAGCTCAGGTCCCTTGACAGAGATGAAGTTGGCGGCACACTCGTTGGCAACGGCCTTGGCCAACATAGTTTTACCAGTACCAGGAGGACCAAAGAACAGTACACCTCGAGAAGGAGACATACCGAACTTGAGGTACTTCTCGGGGTGATCGACAGGGTACTGAACGTTCTCCTTGAGATCCTGCTTGACCTCCTCGAGACCACCAATGTCCTCCCAGCGAACGTTGGGGACCTCGACGACGGCGACCTCACGAAGAGCCGAGGGGTTGGACACACCGAGGGCGAAACGGAAGTTCTCCATGGTGACGCCGAGAGAGTCGAGAACCTCGGCATCAATTGTGTCCTCGTCGAGATCGATGAGATCCATCTTCTCACGGATCTGCTGCATAGCGGCCTCGGAGCAGAGGGCAGCAACATCGGAACCGACGTAACCGTGTGTCTCGGAGGCAATCTGCTCCAGGTCGACGTCATCGCCGAGCTTCATATTCTTGGTGTGAATCTGAAGAATCTCAAGACGGCCGGTGGGATCAGGGATACCAATGTCGACCTCACGATCGAAACGACCGAATCGTCGAAGGGCGGGATCGATAGAGTTGGGACGGTTGGTAGCAGCCATCACGACGACGTTGGAGCGGGCCTTCATACCGTCCATGAGGGTAAGGAGCTGAGAGACGACTCGTCGCTCGACCTCACCATTGGTCTTCTCACGCTTGGGGGCGATAGAATCAATTTCATCGATGAAGATGATGGCAGGTGAGTTCTTCTCAGCTTCTTCGAAAGCCTTTCGAAGATTTGATTCGGATTCACCAGCCATCTTGGACATGATCTCAGGACCGTTGATGAGGAAGAAGAAAGCACCAGTCTCGTTGGCAACAGCTCGAGCCATTAGAGTCTTACCGGTACCGGGGGGGCCGTAGAGTAGAACACCTCGGGGAGGCTTGATACCAATAGACTTGAAAAGCTGGGGATGTCGGAGAGGAAGCTCAACCATCTCTCGGATCTGAGCCATTTGCTTTCGGCATCCACCAATGTCATCATAGCCAACCTCGTTGAGGTTGTTCTCTTCCTCGTCTCGCTGGATAGGCTCACCCTCGCAGTGAATAACGGTATCTTGTGCGACGATACCATACTCGGGAGGATCGACCTCGACAACCTTGAATTCTACTTGTCTCATGCCACCGCGAACGATGAACAAGTCTCCTTGGCGAACAGGTCGGTAAGCTTCTCGGAAGTAGGGAGCGAGGAAAACGTCGAACAGGGAACCGGTGATACCCTCGACGGTATCAGCGATGGGGAGAACAGCAATTCGCTTGGCCTGCAGAAGTGTTAGAGGCTAGTTCATTTTTATAGTTGTGTGGTTACTGACGTATTTGATATCCGGACAAGGGTGGATGGTGATCATATCACCGTGCTTGACTCTCAAATTGTGGCGAACGACTCGGTTGATACGAGCGCTGCCATCATCGAGTTCCTCGTCAGCAAGAACGATGAGAACGGTGTCCTTTCTCTTCTTGCCTCGAACCAGAACGGTATCACCTCGGAAAAGCTGGAGCTGGTCCATAGTGGCCTCGGAAAGGGCGATAATGCTGTTGTCATCGTTGACGGCATCGGTGACCCTTGGTGATGTCAGTAATTGTATGCGAACTGTACAGCGCAAAGCACCTACATCAACTGATTGGGCTTCTTCTTCTTCTTCAGAATCGCGGTCGCGACATCATCTTCCTGCACAGCGGTTAGCGGCATGTTGGGGGATCTCATCAGATGGGGTGTAACGAACGTTCTTGACCTCGGCGCCGGAAGGGTCGCTGTATCTTGTCAGTAATTCGGCTTGCCAAAATAACAGTGATCGGAATAGATCCAAATCTGCTTGTTCACATACGTCAAGTTGACCTTCTTGTGAGGGTGGTGCTCGTCAGGCTGGGGAGCCATGATGGTTATCTGGATGCTTCAGGCGAAGCTGATGCTGGCTCGGTGATGACGAAAGGAGGGGGAGTTGCGAGTGTTGCAAGGTAAAAAAGCCAAGTGCTGGCTCTTTGGTGTGTAATGTGGGCTTAAATAGAGATTGCAGAGGAGGAGAATTCGTGGGGAGATGTAGAGACAAAGTTTGTGTCGAAGGTTGAGAGATGCAAGAGTTAAAGCAGAGGTCAGGTCGGAGGTAAGGTTCAAGCTGTTCTCAAAGGCCACAGGGCACCTTCCCTCTCATCGGAACTGTTTGACAGCGATTCACTGGCCGACCGCCACAGCTGTGGGCCAATGATATCACCGGATGCCCTGAATCGGGTCGGAACAATGATGTTGCAGGGGTGAAAGCAGCTTAGCTCAGCCGTGCTTGATGGTGGGGCTCTAGGCTGGCACTAGCATGATGAAGCAGAGGCGGGCGCCGGGCGCAAGGCGGTAGCAACAGGCAAACAGAGAGTGACGACTGCAAAGGCAAAAACAGGTGGAAGCCAGCAGAAGCTTCCATTGTGCTGTAACAAGGCGAGTTTTAGTTGCAAATGAAATTGTAAGTTTTCTCTATAATGATTTTAAATATACTTGTGTGAACTATCTTTTTTCACACATATTCGCTCATGATCCCGCCACCTTGTTGAGTGCCACGCAGGAACCGTGGACAGAACTTATTAGCTTTTGCATTAGGTTGGTACATAGCTTGGTGTACTGTCCAAGCTGTCTGCATATGGCGGTCATGGTGGACCAAAGGCTTCCATTTCTTGCGCGGCCCCAGTTGCCTACCTCGACATTCAGCGTCTCAGATGAGACAATACTAACGATACTTATTATGGATCAAGTCTTGACTCACTCGCCATTTTCCAACACTGGTGGTATTTTGCCCATTATAATTTATTGAGGGATCTTATAAATCCTTGCGCCTCCTCGCCATCTTGAATCTCGAATCATCCGGTAACCCACTGTACACTGCTGACAAACATAATGGAATGATCTATGACTTATCACTTGTCGGCAAGTTGAGGAATGGTGTCAACCGGGGCCGTGCTATGACTCGGGGGCATCTGGGCCTCCTCAAAACACTTCCTCTCGACCGTGAGCTACTAGCTGCAGTTATTCTTTGCCCGAGCTTCAAGCTTCTCATGTTTACCTATCATCGCAACTACCTACCAGCTACACTGCCTGATGTTACCTTCAAGGAGCAAGAAAACTTCTGACATTTCATAAGAGCGCCATAAATAATCAGCCTCAAGACCAACAAAGCGAAAATCAAAGCTTGCTAAGTCTATCTATCTCAAACCTATTCGAGTTTTCTTGTTGCTTTGAATAGGTATATATACTAAGTGTTTTCCTCTCCTATGTCACCTATGCCTCATGATCCAAAGGTTACCCTGGAGCTACAGAACCTACAACCAATCATAAGCTCTGTTGGTATGTTCAACTCATGATTGACACAATGGCCGAGGACATTTGTATGAATGTACTACCTACCTATGCTGGTTTCATTTTTTTTCATCGCAGGTACATTCCGCCCGGCGATGTATCTCGATGAACAATTCTGAACCCCCTGGGCTTGTGAGAAAGCTTATGTATGATCATGGAAACAAGTATCAAAACTCTATAGGTAGTCACATCAAGCATCATAAAGCCATCACATTGAGCCGCACTGAGAGCATCTGCAATGAAGGCACAACCTTCGTAGAGATAAATACTACTCATCCTTCTCAAACGCATCATTAAGATACGTTACAAAGGTGTCTCTCAGCCGTGAAGACTTCATATCGCCCACGGCCTCCAATCCGATACCACCTCTATTCAAACCCATGAACGCTCTCCGTAGTCTTTGTAATTGTGGGAGACCAACCTTCTTGCCCGCGGGTAGATGTATCGTCAGTTCTGCAGAGCCAGACGGTATCCGTACTTCGTCAACGTCGTCGCCCTCTCGCTGTGCTTCGACTATGCGCTTCACAACATCAGATGTCTCGCGATCCAGGAGATACAAGTAGTCACCACTTTCCTCGCGGCCGCGCTGTATTGTTGCTTGATTCGGGCGCACAACCTTACGGGCTTCACCGGCAATTGCGTCCCAGAGGTCGGAGAAGACCTTGTTGGTTTGGGCCTCATCGTCCTCCCAGATAAGCGTGAAGAGAGGACTGTCCCATCTGGTCATGGGATTGGGTTCTTCGTACCGAAAGACTAAGTTGTCCCAGTTGCCGGGCTCGTATGGCTCTGCAGAGTCCACGATCTTATCGCCAGGAGTTGTATCTGAAGGTGTTGCCTCTTCTGTATCCGCAGTCTTGGATGTCTTGGCCTCTCTTTTCTTTAGTCTGGTCTCGTTAACCTCTCGTGCCTTATCCACTGCACATCCAATCTGTAGTATACAGCTCGGTGTGCGCACAGCCTTTGATTCGCAGTGTAGTTGGTACCGCCAACCCTTGATGTAATTTAAGCCGTCAAGAATCACAATATCCTTGTCGCTAAGTACGCGCTTCACGGCGCCATATATTGTAGCTCGTGCATCCTTCTCTGAGGCGTTGGCAGACCTGGTATGTGCTGGGAGACTCGAAAGATCGTAAACGGAACGGGAGATAGAGAGTGATTCGTCAGAGATGAGGTGTAGGCGATATTTAGAATCGGCGATGCGCTTGGAGAGGTAATCGTAAAGTTGTTGTGATCGTGTCGACTTGCCTGAGGTAGGTAGTCCAGAGACAATGATGAGCTGGGCAATGATTTAGCTGAGGGGTCGTGTAAGTTGTCACAACGTGGGAGACGCACAGGCATCGTCTGAGGAGAGGAGAGATTCGATCTTCCTGGATCGACAGCTACAGTTGGAAATAGTAGTAGTATGTGGATATGAGGCCTCTTTCGGCGCTGTCGAAGTTGGTATGGAGGTCTCGTTAGTGGAGGAAGTTGTCGATTGGAGAATTTTAGAAAGGCTCGACGTCATTTGGAGGGTTCACTTTGTGTGGGGTTACTGTAGCTTAGTGCCTGTGAGACACTTGATAGATAAACAGAACAAAGCTCGAGTGAGTCAAATCACGGCCTCGTACAATGCAATTCGTTATCAGCTAAGCACTGGTACTTCAAAGAGCTTCTGTTCCAGGTTGCTCTCTTTAGCAGGAGAATAGTTTGAGGCGGCAAAGCCGAAGTAACAAAGATACCCTCACTAACTTACCTTGGGCAGATGTCGATACATGCAGTTTCAAGAACTTCCAGAAAAGGGAATTCAGAATTATATTCAGCAAAGAACTTTCCCTTGCAGGTATAAACCACAATCTTACATGCAGAAGAAGCGTCACTGACTAACATATTCGCTCTCGCTCTGGTCGTTCACACGGATCACGGCACTCGAATAGACAGCCCTACAAGGTTAGGTTCGTTACAGCCACAGACCAGCCCATTTGAGCAGATCTTGAGCTAAACCGAATTGGGCATGCGATTCGATGACAGAACTCAGCCTTTGAGGGATATCGCATTCTCATTTTGCATGCGACCCTGTATCTCGGAAATCTGATGCCACACAGCGGCAAGGTTTATGGTTAAGTCTCTGTTTCTCATGCATATCTGGTAAGGGACATTGTCCCGTTTGGGTAACTCTCTCGAGCTGTCCATATTCAGTGGGGAGAAACTGAGGCTATGATGTTGCCGTTGTGCCGACTATACAGCATCTCCTATATTCAATCTAGGAATGTGAGTCGATGGTGACATGTATAAGTATGCCTGTATCTCTCGAGTTGAGAGGAATATTCAATAGATCAGAACAACAATACAATCACCACTTCTTCACTCCATACTCTTCCCTTACCACCAATACATCCACAAGTCAACCATTCTCCAAGAACCATCTTGTAACTCAACTGACTTTCTGTTCACACACTTACCACAACAAATCCAACTACAATGGCTCGACCTATGGATACTCACGATGACATCGCCATCGCCGAGATTGTCATCTATAGCTTCATCCTTATCGGAGCCCTCTTTCTCTGCAAGGCTCATGGCTTTGGACGAACTGCTGGCTGGCTCTATATCTGCATCCTATCACTTGCGCGTCTAATCGGCTCTTCAATGCTCCTTGCAACCATCGATGACCCGAGCAACACAAGCCTCTACGTCGGCTGGCTTACCCTGAACGGTCTCGGTCTCGGCCCCTTGATTCTTATCCTTCTCGGCCTGCTTGGTCGTTGCTTCGATTCTATCAAGCGGCAGGGCGGCCCCGGCGTTCTACCAATCTATCAGCGGGCGATCCAACTTCTGATGCTTGCTGCCATTATCCTTATCTCAGTTGGCGGTGCCAATTCGGACTACGAACTCAACGGCTCCTCTCCCAGTGTCAAGTACAACTCCGAGTGCAAGATTGGTGTTATCCTCATGATTATTGTACTTGTCTTGGTTCTGGGCCAGTTCTTCCTTGCTCTCCGCAGCCAGTCCTACATTGCTGATGGCGAGCATCGACTTCTTATCGCCGTTGGTGCTTCTCTGCCCTTTGTTGTTGTCCGACTTGCCTACACCTGCGCTCTCATCCTCGGCGGCCACAAGCAGGATGTTTGGATGTATCTCGGTGCTGGTATAATCATGGAGATGATGGTCGCGATCATCTGCGAGGCCGTTGGATTCACTCTCTGTAAGGCTCATAAACCCACAGAGAGCCAGGAGATGCTTAACATCAAGGACTCGACTGAAGCATAAGCCAGGAATGTCTAAGAAAAGTGGCGTAGAGGACCTTTGAATATATTGCAACAGGGGGTTAGAGCGTTCGATTTCACAGATGCATTTGGGTATAGAGGAGCCTTGATCTACATATAACACAGCTTTCCTATGTCTAGCGAGCAAATAAGTCTTTATACATATCCCCATCAATTCAATTCTTAACATGAACGTTTCGCATGTCTTTCGTCTAAATCATCTAGCCTTTCCAGAATGCTTAACAAGATATAGTAATCACAAAAAAAGGATTCCGAAAGCCAGAATCTCTCTAACCC